CTGTGGCCACTGCCTATGAAGGCTCGGTTGGCATTTACCTCTGTAGGATCAGAAGGGCCGACCAGTTGTTTCAGTGGGATGGATTAGTGCTGAGTCACAGCTGTTTGTGGGAAGCAGGCGAACGGGAGCTTGAATTCAGCCGATCCGGGCTCAGTGTGTGTTCTGAGAGGCCCAGACTGTTCGCCCCAGATCCAYGTCAGCTCAGCATTGCCTACTGATCCTGAGCAAATAGCATTTAGACTGTTTACTCCCTATGCCCGCACAGCTGAAGAGGTCAGAGACTTGATCTCTCCGTGCCCGCTGCCGTGTTGAAAGCATTGTGGTTTATTCTTATAATTACATTATAAATTTGATAGAACAGCAATAACAGTTATGTATTAGCTTTGTTTTGCTATGTCAAAATTTCTAGAAAAGATAGAAACATCGTGAWAGAAGCACATGGTGGAGGAAAGCTGCTGCTCATCTCATGGCAGCCAGTAAACAGAGAGAGACAGAGACAAAGGGAAAGGAAAGAGAAGCAGAAGACAAGATACAGTCCCAAAGGGCATGCCCATAAGGACTCTTCCTCTAGATCCTACCTCCTAACTTTCTATTACCTCCAGTAATCCATTCAGCCATGACTCTATCAAGGAGTTCACAAGGTTAGCACCCTCTTGATCCAATCACTTCCCCCAAAAAATCACCTCTGAACATTGCATGTATTGGGACTGAGCCTTCAACACATGAGTCTTTGGGGAACATTCCAGATTCAAACTATTGTAAGTGATGATGTATAGAAAACAGATTTATGAGTAATGAGTAATTTATGAGTATATGAAAATTAGCATCCAAACTGTTTGAACTTTAAATTAATATCCAGGTAAACAAGCAACAAAGATTGTTATTGTCATAGGTGTATTTTGGCCAAGAAATAAAGACTTTAAAATTATCTAATTTTTTTCTCTACATTCYGCATTCATCAAACAAACTCTTCTCAAGTTCAAGAGTCARATAGACCACAATACAATAATTTTGGGTGACTTTAACACACCTCTTTCATCATTAGATAGATATTCCAAACAAAAGCAGAACAAAGAAACTATTGAACTCAATAATATAATCAATAACTTAGACTTAACTGACATATATAATTCCAACCTTCAATGAGAGAATGAATATACTTTCTTCTCAGCAGCATGGATTCTTCTAATTTGTTTCTAACACATCTGAACATTAAATTGAAAGCTTCTATTTGCCACTAAAGCTCTGGATTCCTCCAGAGACCCTACTTATAGACAAACAAGGGGACCCTTCTCCCTTCTTCTATTGACATAATACATTGTAAAGCCCTAGGCAGCAATCTCCTTGGCCAAGGCCACACTGAAGCTAACACTGGTTTATCATTATAATCTTTAGATATTCCCAGAGTGCTCTGTCATGAAAGTCATGCAAGAGCCATTTGCTATAATGACAAGCTGGAAGTTTGAGTAACTCTAATTAAAAAATAACTGTAACAGAAAAACAGAACTTTGACAGTTGGCTGTGTCCATTCTCTGATATCTAGAATACCAGATATCTTAGAGTGCTGATACCATTCTTACCTGGGGTTTGAGGTAATAATATGATAGCATGCTAGAAATTTTCAGAAATGGTCATGTACTTAAGAAGCAGACCAACCTATGTGTGAAATTTCTCTCTGTCCCTTTTGTTAGGGGACCTTAGGTAAGTTATTTAATCTCCTCATAACTGAAAACTATAATTCTTCTTGAGCGTTGCTATGAAAATGAAAGTACCCCCATGAGTTATTGTCGTAGGGTAAATAAATGAGGAATATAGTGTGGTGATGATATGTTTTGATATTCTGTCAGGTGAAGTGAAGGACAAAGTTGTTCAAGTGGTGGAGCTCCCCATTGTAGACAGTCTTCATCCACGTCCTCCTTATTTACCCTTGGCTGTACCAGAAGACCTTGCAGATCGACTCCTAAGAGTGCATGGTGATCCTGCAGTGTGGTGGGTGTCTCAATTTGTCAAATATTTGATCCGCCCGCAACCTTGGTTGGAAAAGGAAATAGAAGAGGCCACCAAGAAGCTTGGCTTCAAACATCCAGTTATTGGGTAAGAATCTGATTTTTTTTCCCTCAAACAGTGATATATAATAGTGATACATAATATTTTTACCTTCTACTTTGAACTTTACAATTCAGAGTTTAGTTTTCATTGCCCCACCAAAAACAGGTTTCACAGTTCATGTTAGGGCACAGGGAGAATATTCTTCCTTTGTTCACTTAGAACATTAGTAAAAATTGCTTAGTAGTGCTTTATAATGCTTCTCTTTTTWCCACTCTTAATATTAAAGATCTCTTTGTTTTTATTTTCATATTTCCCACTTCACATCTTCCTTCATGTTTTAGCTTTTATAGAGAAATTATTAACCCCTATTAAAAATGTTAGCATAAAAGAAGATACGTAGTGAAATCATAATATTATTAGATAGTGTTTCATCTCATGAAACTTTTTATTAAAAATCAGTGGAATCATTAACATCATCTCTAAAGAGTACACTGAACAATTCCAATTTTCTAAGAGAAGCATTGAGGGAAGAATAGTAGAATCAATTGGACACTATTACCCTGTGTGCACATATAACTTTACGACCAGTGTGATTCTACATCATGTACAACCAGAACAATGAGAAGTTATACTCCATTTATGTATGATGTGTTAAAGTACATTCTATTATCATGTATAACTAGTTAGAACAAATAAGAAGAAGAAGAAGAAGAAGAAGAAGAAGAAGAAGAAGAAGAAGAAGAAGAAGAAGAAGAAGAATGTGGGAAGGAAAAGATGACAGAATAGATGTTTCTGTGATCCTATCCACATCTGGACTATAACCTGGCATGCAAAAAAAGAATGGAAAGTCATAAAGATGGCAGAGTAACATCAGTGAAACAAATCTCCACACCCCATAATAGAGTTGGCCTTTGGCTTGGCCTGAGGCATGCCCAAGACTGCAACTTCAGGGAAACAAATCTACCATTTTCCTTCTTCTACATGGGGATAGTGATTTATCAATGGGTGGCTCTAGAGGGCAGATTTAAGGAGCCTTAATTATGAAAACAAAATATGATTGTTATTCTTATTTCCACTAAAATTACTTTGGAAGCACTAAGATAGAAGACTATGGAAATCAGTGTATTATTCAGTGCAGATTRATATAAATATGTATAGCCAATTTTACTGTGTTAGGCCTTTTTATAAGTGGTATGGATGAGATCTGTATCTGCTCACATTTGATAAGTGAAAAACAGAAAAGAAACACATTAGAAACACAACAAAAGGGCTGGAATGACTCCATGAAACTAAAATATTAAAAATCCTTAAAAAGTTTTCCTGCCACTTTCTACAGGAAAAGACCATGTAGTCTTTTTCCTTAGACAACTTTAAATTCTATAAACTGGCAGTTATAATACAAGATTAAATGAAGAAAAGAAAAAAATGGCTTCAGAATGTGACAAGCACTATCTTTAATATTCTGTAATAACAACTGTGACTCTTCATCATTTTAGTCTCAAAAACCCTAAGATTTAAATTCTTTGGTTTTTTTGTTTTGTTTTTTCCTGGATAGCTGGTGAGTATGTTGCTGCCTAATGTGAAGTGTAACTCTGAAATCTTTCTCTATAATAAAGTATTCTTCAAAAACTTTACTTATTTTCTAATTTCTCTTATATTGTTTACCATGCAAATATATTAAAACATGTGAGAGTTTTTTTAATATTTGTTTTTTCTMATTATGAAAATAAAGAAAAATCAGTTTAAATTGTTACAGTGCCATTATAAATTATATAAATTGAGTACACCAAAAGCACCRAGTGAATCAATACATTATCAGCAGAATGTGAATTTCTCCCCCAGAGTCCATGTCAGACGCACAGACAAAGTGGGAACAGAAGCAGCCTTCCATCCCATTGAGGAGTACATGGTGCATGTTGAAGAACATTTTCAGCTTCTCGCACGCAGAATGCAAGTGGATAAAAAAAGAGTATATTTGGCCACGGATGATCCTTCTTTATTAAACGAGGCAAAAACAAAGTAAGTTAGACCAACTAGGAGTTCTAGAGTGACATTGTCTCTTTTTTTGAGAAGAATCTTTAATTCCCATCACTTGTGATTCTTGTTCTAATATTATTATTAATTATTGGGGTTTTAAAATTCAAATGACTGTGTACTTGCTTAACTCTTAATTTAATCAAAGCATACTTTATTAGCCATATCTGATGCCTTGAAATAAGAAATCCAAAATGAAATAGACTGTTGATTACACATTTCGAGCAGTCATCACTATCACCATTAAACACAATCACCCCCTTCTTGGTACTAAAATCTATATCAGTTTGCTCAAGCTTCCATAATAAAATACCCATAAACTAAGTGGTTTAAATGACAGAAATTTATTTCTCATAGTTCTGGAGGCCGAGAAGTCTATGATCAGTAAGGTAGATTTTCATTCTGAAGATTCTCTTGGCTTGTAGGCAGCCACCATCTCACTGTGTCCTCGCTTGATCTCTTTTTGTGTGTGTGCCAAAGAGAGCAGGCACTCAAGTGCCTATCTTATAAAGATGTTGATCCTGTCGTGATGGTCCCAGCCTCTTGAACACATCTTACTCTCATTACCTCCCAAAGGCCAAGTACCAATTAGAAACTGAAACATGTGAATTTTGGGGAAAAATAAACATAATATTTATCAATTTTATAGAATTGCTAGTAATAAAACACACCTGGTACTTGCCCCTTTGATCTTGTTATTCATTGTCGACACTAACAATTACAGGCAACTGAATATATGTGTATATATATAGAGAGAGTCTTTGTTGTTTTAAATTTCTGAAATTTGAAAGTTACACTAAAGAAAGGTAAAGAACCAAAGAATGATTTTTTTTAAGTGGATAAATAAATTCTTCTATTATGTATTGATATTTTAGGCACTGTGCTAGGTGTAGGGATGTCATGATAATCAAGGTACTCCCTCCTCTTAAGGAATTCCTAATCGAGTGAAGGAAAAAAATCACTGTTATTAATAATACTATAGGATTATCSAGGAGCAGTGGCACATACCTGTAATCTCAGTGACTTAGGAAGCTAAAGTAGGAGGATCATGGGTATAAAGCCAGCCTTAACAATTTAAAGAGGATGTAAGCAACTTAGGGAGACCCTGACTCAAAATTAAAAATCAATAATAAGAGGGCTGGGGATGTGGCTCAATGGTTAAGTACCCTTGTGTTTATTCCCTAGTACCAGTAATAATAGCAACAACAATRATAATAATATAGGATTAACATAGGGTTTTATGAAAACTAGTAGACTGATTCTGATTAGAAATTTCCTATCATAGGATCTGGGTCAACCTGGGATTGGCCATTATTTACTATCCATAAATAAATGCTGTATTAATTATATACCAAAAAATAGGAAAGACAGTAGAATGAATGGGCATAACTTTCCTATGTTCATATATGAATACATGACTAGTGTAACTCTACATCATATACAACCACAAGAATGGGAAGTTATACTCTATGCATGTATGATATGTCAAAATACATTCTGCTGTCATGAATAACTTAAAAAAAAAAAACAAAAGAAAAAAAGAAAAATGAATAAGAATACACACACACACAAGTAGGGAACAGGGTAAAATAAAATTGTGGTCTAACTTTTGCTATAATACCATCTCCTCCAGAAATCATCCCTGATTATTTGACTGAGTTATGTCCTTTCTCTGCACATTCTTCTATTATAGTGCATAGCACTTATTTACTTCTGCCTTCCTCACTAGATTATATATACTTTATTCATAAGGCCTGTCTTAGTATGTGCCTAGTACAAACTGAACTGTGTTTATTTTGATCTCATCAGTTCAAAAACATTTTATTAGCAATGAAAGAATGAATTACTTGAACCATTTGGCTATTTAACATATTTCTTAGTACCTTTTTTCTGTAACAAATGGGAGGGGAAAAGAAGCAAAGTCAGAATAAGGTAGTATTCCAAGTCCTTGTGTATACACATAAAGGACCAAGAAATTCATCAGCTAAGTATAAGAATGTTAATATAAGATTTACAGATTAAATACACATTTGGGCACAAAACACAATACAAATTGTTTTTCAAATTAATGTTCAGATGTGTTAGAAACAAATTAGAAGGATCCATGTGCTGCTGAGAAGAAAGTATATTCTCTCATTGAAGGTTGGAATATTCTATATATGTCAGTTGAATCTAAGTTATTGATTGCATTATTGARTTCTATAGTTTCTATGTTCAGCTTTTGTTTGGAAGATCTGATGATGAAAGAGGTATATTAAAGTCACCCAAAATTATTGTGTTGTGGTCTATTTGACTCTTGAACTTGAGAAGAGTTTGTTTGATGAATGTAGATGCTCCATCATAGGAGCATATATACACTTCTCAGAAGATGATGTACAGTCAGTCAACAAATAACATGAAAAATGTTCATCATCACTAGCAAAGAGAAATGCAGATCAAAACCACTGTAAGATTTCATCTCACTCCAGTCAGAATGGCAGCTATTATGCATACAAACAACAATAAGTGTTGGCAAGGATGCGGGGGAAAAGATATACTCATACACTGCTGGTGGGACTGCAAATTCGTGCAGCCAACATGGAAAGCAGTATGGAGATTTCTTGGAAAATTGGGAATGGAGCTACCATTTGGCCCAGCTGTCCCTCTCCTCGGTCTATACTCAAATAACTTAAAAACAGCATMCTACAGGGATACGGCTACATCAGTGCTTATAGCAGCACAATTCACAATAGCTAAACTGTGGAACCAACCTAGGTGCCCTTCAATAGATGAATGGATAAAAATAAATGTGGCACATTGGACTATTACTGAGTAAYAAATGAGAATGAAATCATGGCATTTACAGGTAAATGGATGGAGTTAGAGAAATAATGTTAAGTGAAGTTAGCCAATCCCAAAAAACCAAATGCTGAAAGTTTTCTTTGATATAAGGAGGCTGATTCATAGTGAGATAGAAAGAGGGAGCATRGGAGGAATAGATGAACTCTAGATAGGGCAGAGGGGTTGAAGGGGAAGGGAGGAGGCATGGGGTAATTAATGATGGTGGAATGTAATGATCATTATTATCTAAAGTACAGGTATAAGGACATGAATTGGTGTAAATATACTATGTATACAACCAGAGATATGAAAAATTGTGCTCTATATATGTAATAAGAATTGTAATGCATTCTGTCATATATAAATAAAAAAGAAAGAAAGAACAAATTAGAAACAATTCACCATGTTTTCTCATTTTAAAACACCATATGAAATTTGTAGCTTGGTTGAAGAAAGGGATATTAATCTTGCTACTCTTTCACTTATTCTTGAATGTATCATGAGCGTTTTTCCTTGATTAGCAAAATAATTCATGTTCATGAGAAAATATGGAAGTTGGTAAATACAAAGCCAAGGAAACTACCCATAGTCCCACTATTCACTGGCAACAAATATTTAAATATTGACATATTCCTTTATATCGTCCTATTTTTAAATAGTTGTTCATATCTTATGTAATTTTGGATCCCTTTTTTGCATCTGATATTAAATTGGACCTACTTTTAAGGTCACTAAAAAGGTTACTTATTTTTTTGTTTATTTATTTTGAATAGACAATTATATATGTTTATGGGTTATAATATAATGCTTTTGTCTGCTTACTCACTGTTGTCAAATAATAAATATCCATAATCTCACCACTTACCAAATTTTTTATGATGAGAATGTTAAAGGTGTTCTTTTAGCAATTTTTAAAGATTCCATACATCATTATTAACTGTGATCACCATATAGTGCCATAGAACCCTATAACTTAATCCTCCAATCTAACAGAGACTTTGTACCCTTTTGTCAGTGTATCTCCTTTTTCCATTTTTCCACTTCTCCCATATCCCCACCCCACCTCTCCAACTTCTGGTATCCACCTTTCTACTCTCTTGTTTATGTGGGATCAACCTTTTAGATTCCACATATAGGTAAGATCATATAGTATTTGTCTTTCTGTGCCTAGCTTATTTTACTTAGCATAATGTCCTCCAGTTTCATTCATGTTGTCACAAATGACAGAATTTCTCCTTTTTTAAGGTTACACAGTATTTCATAATACTGTGTGTGTGTGTGTGTGTGTGTGTGTATGTATCACATTACTGATGAACATTTAAGTTGCTTTCATATCTTGGCTACTGTAAATAATGCTGAAATGTTCTCCATATCCTTGACAGCACTTGTTATCCTTTATTTTCTTGGTTATAATCATCCTTCTAGGTGTGAAGTGATATCTCATTATGATTTTAGTTTGCATTTTTCTGATGATCAGAGATGTTAAACATTTTTTCACATATCTATTGGCCATTTGCACCACTTATTTTAAGAAATGTCTGTTTAGATCCTCAGACTTTTTACTTTTTTCTTTTTTTTAATGTGGTCCTGAGGATTAAACCCAGAACCTTATACATGCCAGGCAAGATCTGTTCAACTGAGCTATATCCACATATCCCTAACCTCAGCCCCCATTGCTATCTTTTAATCAGATTATTTTCCCACTATTATATTTTATATTTTATATTTTGGAGATTAACCCCTTATCAGATGTATGGTTTACAAATATTTTTCCAAATCTCTTGGTTGTCTCTTCATTCACTCTGTTAATTATTTCTTTTGCTATGCAAAATCATTTAAATTTGACATAATCCCATTTGTATATTTTTGCTTTTGTGGCCTATGCTTTTAAAGTTCTATCCAAGAAACAATTGCCCCCATCAATGGCATAGAGCTGGGTTTTGTTTGTTTTATTCTAATGGTTTTTAAGTTTTTGATCTTACATTTTAAGTCTTTTATCCATTTTAGTGTTCTTTCTCTTTTTTTTTTGCATATGATGTGAGATAAAGATCTGTTTTCATTCTATTAGATTAGAGGATTAAGTTTTAGTCCCATATGTGGACATCCAGTTTTCCCAACAACATTAATTGATAGACTGGCCTTTCCTCATTGTATATTCTTGATAT